AAGATCATATTTGCAAAGATTTGAGCTTCTCGCTCACTAGTCATATCCCTATCGTCAAAGATTTGAGCTTCTTGTATAGTAATGTTTCAACCGAAACTGAACCATACCGTTAAAAATAAAACTTTATTTAGCTAGTACTCACCCTCGTGGCCGCCGAGGAGCTCAACGACGTGGACTAGGCGGGCATGGAAGATGGTGGTCCACCTCATCCTGGGAGCCCTCATTAATAAGATTTAGCAAACATTATTTTAAAAATACTAATTTGTTTATTCTCAAAATATACAAAATAAATATTATTTTGTAGATCAAATTATTTTATTGTATAAAAATGAGATTTTTACTTAAAATGATGGATATATGTCTCGATTTAGAATAATAGAGATTAAAAAGTAAGTCTTAACATGTCAAAATCTCCTCTCTTCTGCGTACTACATGTCCTTAAAAGTACAACAAAAAGGACATAATTGCGGAAATTACTAATCTGCCCCTCATTGTCACTATATGAGTTCTTAAAAAAATTCCGAAAATATGGTAGCCTTTATAAAATTTGCGGAAGTACACATGTTTTCACCAAATCGTTGTCGACAAAAGCGATCAACAGACAAATCACTTTACCTCCGCCATGATATATTGATGGTGATGTTTGGTAATGCCTTGATCAAGTAAGGCACTCACGATCTCTACATTCAGTTGGCGGTGGTCCTAGGAAGTATGAAAGAGGAGCAGGTGTGATTGTTCTGCATCGTGCAAATTACCCAAGCATACTTTTCTTCATCCATGCAACTTGAAGCTCCCACCGACATCCGTCTCTAGCATTCTTGCATATGACATGGAGTTGTTGTTGGTTAGAATATTCGACCTTCCACTCAAGATTCCATCGCATGAGTTCTTCTCTAAAACCACCACCAACAACATCTTTGGTAGGAAATACCATTCCAACCTCCAAATCGGCAGTCAGATTCCTCACCGGCATAGGGAGAAAGTCAAGATCTTCGTTATGAGTATTAATGGATTTTGTGTAGTATGGAGTAGGTGACTCTTGGACCCCAACCTCATAGTTCGTTTACTCTTCCTCACTCACAGGTCCAAAATCTTCTTCGTTATCCTCATATATTTCGAAAGGATAACTCTGCATCTCATCACTGGAATTTTAGCAACCATAGCCACCAACATCGTCATCTCTACTCTGTGCAGATCGCCAGGATGCCCCATCTCTCACATTGCCACCTGCATAACTACCTTTTTCATAGTTTCTTGAATAACCACCCCATTCGTACCTTCCCGCGACACCATCACCGTAATAATGGTGGTGATAAGAGGATTCATCGCAATCATATCCGTAACTAGCTCCATCATGACCGACATCCATGGTTTCAACATACACCTGTGCTAGCCTGATCTAGTTTTCAGCTAGGAAGTTCACCATCATGTTAACCCCATCATTGTTGGATATGACAACTCCTTCGTACGTGACATCTCCTCCACCGATGTTTGGATATCGGTAAGTAATTTTACAAACTCTTGTTTTCCCCACCATACAAACCATGTATGCACAAATGTCATAGAGTTCTTGCCACGTGAATCTGATATCAATGTTCAACCTGCTGGATTCACCATATTCATAACCGCTATTTTTGGGATTTTGTCATCCGACCATTCCGCCGAAAAAGAAGTTGGAACTAACGATTACATACAACATCCAAAACGATAATCCGTCATATATTCAACTTTCATCTGAATATTTAGCATAATTAAAATGATGCGTAATTAGTGAAGCACAAATACATAACTACTTAAACTTGACCATAATAAATAAATTCAGACATACCATATAGTCAGAATGAGGGGAAAGAGTTTTTGTGTGGTCGTGGGATTTTCTGCAAGTGTAGTGGAGAAGAGGGAATTTTCTGCTATGAAGGTGGAGAAGATGGGAAATGAGAGTGAATTAGGATGGGAAAATCATTTTTATTTTGGAATCAGATTGCACCTTGATCACTTTAGTGCAAGGCGATCAATGCAAAATCTCTTTTGACTAAAGCAATCATGCCTAGGTCGTTGCACCTAACCCTAACCTCGTGCCAAATATTTATCTCTCTTGACAAAGGAGATTTAGTTAATCGATTGTAACATAGGCGATCAACTAAAAACCAGTGCACCAACCCTAACCTCGTGGAAAAAACAGATGCATCAACCCTAACCTCGTGTTGAAATTAAATTGCGGTTGAGGACAATGATTTATTATTGAAGGCTTTCTTCTTAAGCGATTTAGTTGACTTGGTAAGCACCTAATATAGTGATCTCTGTACTGGGAAGCGATTTTAGAATCATCGTTGTCGTGTAACGCAATTTAGCTATGATCATTTTTTTCTATCCAACGAATATTGAGTAGATCGCTTGCATCGCAATTGATTTGCTGAAAGCATGTTTGCTTTAGGAGTGTTTCTAACAAAATTATTGTATTTGGGATTTTGTTAAGAAGTAGGGTATTTGGGGAATAATTTCTAGATAAAAGCTAATGGATGGCTGAGATGTAAATTTTGTTAGAAAAAATAATTTGTATCCTAAGTGCTGGTAAAAATATTATTTTAACTATAACTTAAATTTATTTGGATTTTGGTGGTGAAGGAGAAATAAGAAATGAAAGAGCATGCATCCTAACTCGTTGCATTTTGAACCATCAATAACTGTTGTATATTTGTAAAACATGAACAAGTGGAAGAAAAAGAAAACCTAATTTAATTTAGGAAGTATTGCAAGTTTGCCTTATTTCTAACAGTTGAGCAGACATGAATTAACACAAACAACAAAGAAAAAAACCCCACTCTAGAAGAAGAAAACCAGAAGATAGCACGTATGGTATACCAATACTTTGATTATGTCGACCCATGATCCCGATGTATCAAAAGTACTTATGGCGAATGTGTAAATTAAAAAAAGTTCCTTCACAACAAGTGAAGAACAAACAAACAAGTGGAAAAGAGTAGGCTAGTTTTGTTTGGGGCAGTTGAAGTCCAACTGATGAGGTATGAACTCAAACTGGTTACTAGTAGTAGTTTGTGGATGTTGGTGATGACAAGTTTTGTGCAGTACTAGTGTTGCATCCCTTTCAGCATCCCTTTCTCCCGTGACCTACAATAATGTGATAAAAAGAGATGAAAATTTCACCACAAAGATAAATTATATCTTGTTTTTTTATTCATTTAGTGAGAACATGTTCATCATTTCACATGTAACTCTCAGATGTGTAGAAAATATCAACAATACATTTAAAACGCTCTCTACTTCAGTTATTATTAATTAAGAAAAAATTGAGCAATATTATTGCACACATTTTATTTGTAAAAAAATATTGTACATACAAGAGAAATGATCCTTGTATACATGTATACAAGTATTTATCAACTTTCACTAGTACGTAAATGATTGAATATTTTCGCTAAAGTGTACAATATCGTATTAATAAAGAACCCATCCAAGTCCCAACAACATGCTCAGTCTAACTATAAATGGAGGTATTTGCGATTGTTCCCAACAAAGAAAGGGGTCAATGCTCGTCTTTCTTGCTCGCAATTTTTGTGGAAGTACGTAGTTGTGTATCTTTGTATGGAAGTAATATCATATTAATAGTGTCTGCATATTACTCAGCCATGATGCAACATAGACGATACACACTAGACGGCTCGTCATGACCATTTTTTTATGGGATGAAAACTTTAAAGGTGTATCTAAAATGACATGCATGTTACCGTGGCTTGCACATTTTGATCAAACTCAATAAGTATTAGGTCGACCGAATATGTTGTTTCAGTGTAAAAATAGTTAATACGACTGTTGGAATGAAACGAATGGATTTTGACATACCTGGTCTCGCAATTCTGAATTTTCCTTCCTCAGAAGGTCCAACTGTCGGTGCAGTTCTATATTCTCTTGATAGAATAGATTTCCCTGCAACATTCAATTTAACATCCACACTCATAATTAAGTTTTTCACGCAAAAATCATAATGAAAAACAACAACAATTACGTGTCTGTATACCAAAATTATAGATCACCAATTAATCAAAATAAAATACATTTGAGGACGACCTTTTCCCATGTGTCGTATATAGAGGTGGCAATTTCAATCCAATCCATCAATCCATTAAAAATATCCACCTAATCCAATCCATTTAAATCCAATCCATTTGATCCAAATCCAATTGGATTGGTGGATTCATGGATTGGATCCATGGATCATTGGCAAATTACGGTTTAGTACCTATAATTTTTATTTTTTTACATTTTGGTACCTAAAATTTATTTTTTTATACAAAAATATCATTGGAAAATTACGTTTTGGTGCCTAAAATTTTTCATTGTGACATTTTAGTACCTAAACTTTTTACGTTTTACATATTGGTCCTTTGTTGAGGATGTAATTTGGATTCATGGATAATCCACCAATCCACTTGCTCCAATCCATGAATCCACCAATCCATTAGATCCAATCCATTTGATCCATAGATCCATCAATCCAATCCACCAATCCACCAATCCAATCCATTTGCCACCTCTTGTCGTATATGTAGAGGGTCTTAGGGGAACATCCCTAAAGTTCACGGAATATTTATTTTATAATGAATTTGATGAAATATTTAATGACCTAGGAGATATTAGTTTTTGATATATATGGGAAAAAGTAATTATTATTCATGCATTTTGACATTTGCACCCATATATAATTTCTTTTAACTCAAAGGATAAACCGTAAACATGACATATAGATAGCAATCTAGGTTGTAGCATGAGATATACATAGATGCAGAAGGATAGGCATATTGATCTAATGTACGTAAATTGGGGCGTTACCTTTTTTGTCAAGTCTGTTATTTGGCCAATTAAAACCTGGTTCTGCGAGGGAGGAATAATATTGAATGCGGGAAGAGAAATTAGAGAAGAGACAAGCAGTGGGAGTGTACAATTAATGAAGGACTAATTATAATAATTAAGTTGATCAATATTTAAGTTGTAAGTTGTACCTTCTTCGTGCGAATTCCCTTGAGGCTCATCTCTAGCTGGTTTTCCAAGTTTTGCAAATCACTGGCACTCAACCCTGACAGCTCTTCTCCCATTAGTTTCCTGAACATGCATGCATGCATTCGGATCATATATAACTTTAAAGCATCGTAAATGTGCAATACATTATTTTAGGTATAATCATAGAATAAATACGTAACAAATGACACTTCAAAATGCTCAGGTAAAGCGTACGTTAAATTTTTTTTATAAACAAATTCAGTAAAAATAAAAGGGTAAGTTTTGAGTTTCCAGACTCCATCCATTAGGAAGTTAATTACCTGTGATACTCTTGTAAGGACTGCAGTTCCCTCCTGAGCTTTGCTGCTTCCCTTTGCCAAAACTGTATATGATTGAGCCCAGAAACAAATATTTATACAAAAATTATTCACTTAATTGTAATGCATGGGAAGTATATTAAAATTCTTAGAAAAAAAAATTCATTGCTCATCATTTTATGAAAAAGAATAGGGTAAAAACCATTTTCTACAAAATTTTACAGAACTCTTAAACCCAGTCCATTAAATAATATGCCCAAACTCATGGCCTGATTCAATCTCTTTCCCTTTTTTTTCCTCTATTCCTTATTTTTCTAATTATGGTAATATTTCTTTTGTCTAAACTTAAAACTTAAAAAAAATTCCATAGAAAGAACGTATCAAATAAGATGTACACAATGAAATCCATTATGCTATATCTTAATTAACAACAGAAAATTTGTGTTATCATATCACAATTATATCATGATTATACAACTATGGTAAAGCTACACAACACCATTTTAATACAATTATATAAATATATTACAGTGGTAACCGGTGGTAAGGATGACAAAAAATTATTTCGCTTAAAAATATTGAACTAAATGTCATCTTGTAGTTATCTTGTAGTTTTACACTAATAAGACACACGTCATGTTAATACGATAAGACTCCATAATACCATCTTACCGCTATGGTATAACATTATACCATTGTGGTAATATCATGATGTGATTATGGTAAGAAATAAAAATCTTCTATGCAAAATTTGTTGCAATTCCAATTAAAATGAGCGAAATTGTTCAAAATTTGCGAGAGATTGAAAACGCCTATTAACTTTGTGCCCGGAAATTCAAGTGAGCAGTAAAAAAGGAGGTTTTGTAGCTCTGTGTAAAAAAGAAACAATAATGGTTTCGGTTGATGAATGTACATACATGTATGTGTCTCTTGTCTTAGTTCCAACTAAACCAACATGTTATGTTTAAACCAGGAGTGTTTGGGTGTAATTTTGAACGAGTAACACAAACGGAAAAATGAAGGGAAAAAAAACTCAATTTGAAGAATTGGTTTTTTTTTCTTCTGTATATACCTTGGCTTCTGAAGCAGGATTCAACGGTTGACTTTGACCTTCTTTCTGCTTGTTGTATCGATCAATAACAGACTTCATACTGCATACCATGTAGAAAGCTGACGGTTATAACAAATGGGAGAGTGGTTAATTATGTAGTGAAGTTTATTTACATTCCAGTCTATAAATAGTGACATGATGATGGTGGCAAAGAAAGCATAACCAATCCTTATGGCACCCAACTGAACTTAAATTGATTTCCAACAACATTTTTTGTGATGTTTTTATAACCTGATAAATAAATAAATGGTTCTTTGTTTTAACTATCCTTCGATAAAGGTGATGGAATTGGTCTCATGATTTGCAAATAACTTGTGGTGGATGTTATCAATCCGAAAGGTAGGTTTTTTATCAATCCGAAAGGAAGTTAGTATTCCCTTTCCAACCTCTAAACTATATGTGTAATAAAAATGTATGTGTAATAGTACATTAACCTACAAAAGGGTTTTGTCTAGTGATAATATACCACTAGCCTAGAACCTGAAGGTCACAGGTTCAAATCTCTTAAGTAGTATCTTAATGACAACAAAAAGAAACCTATATCACCCTTATAAAAAAAAAGTACATTCACCTTATCATATACCTTTTCATACAAATTTGTTTATGATACATATATAATAAACTTGTATATTCAACGTTATAGTACAAACACAATTTGTACATGAAAGTATCGATACTTATGAACTTCATAAAATTTCTGTTGATTCGATGTTTGAAAAAAAAAAAACTAAAAAATACCTGTAACTAGCTAACCTGAAACTACTATTCAGCCTCATTAATGAGCGAGTGGAAACAAAATCTTTTATTTTTGTTCCAGAAAACCATTTAGATCTTCTCTTGTCTGTAAGAGATTTTAAAGTCATTGTATGAATCGTTAAATATTTGTAGGGCAGCGTTGACTTCTGTAGTTTCATATTTCATGATAAAAAAGCATTGACTTCACTTAAGTTGACTTCAACTAATATAGACGAATCTTGTTGAAAAATAGTTGTAGGCTAGTGTTGCATTATCTGGTGTCCTGTTTCTCTTGTAGCGAACGATTGTGGCGTTCCCTACATTGCGTGTCAAAAGTCAAAAGATCTATATATTGGTTTTTGGTTCCATTGTGCATGGGACCATGATTGTCGTATCATATGTCGGCTCTCGTGCATCATGCATGCACGTGTACGTTGTTCTAGCAAGGCTTGGAGTTCAAGTCATGCGCCTTCTAATAATCTTGCCTCCAATTATAGTAATGATGCGAAAGGGAGAAGAAACCCTAATGGAAGATAATTAATTAGTAATTACCATGAAGGTGTGACAATGGTAGATTGTGATCAACGTACGTAACTAAAAAACAATTCTCGAAATATATACTGATCAATACTGAAAATCATTCTATAGACCTATAAGGAATCCAATCTTCTATCTCAAAATTTTCAAAATAATTAAAAAATAGATAAAAAAAAATTACAATAGTAGTTGGGAAATTCAAAAGTAACATCTAACTTTAAGTAGGGAAATTAAAAATTATTTTCTCCTTTGTCCCCCCTTTTTTTTTGTACTCCCTCCTCGCCCCTCGGAATTGTTCGTTGTAAAATTCATGGGAGGATCTTGGATGATTTAGATCTTAGGCACGATTGCGAAAGAAATTAATGGAAGAAATTGATGTGCTTCTAGAGTATTAACCAGTTGAGTTAGCAAAAACCATTGGATCTGTATATTAGAAGATTCATTTCTTAAGTCTCTTCTAGCTTGTTCAGTTACGAAACCCGACTAGACTTTCAAATTTCAAAATAATATGTTCTCCCATAAGATTTTTTTTCCCTAATGATTTGTAACATTCTCAACCGATTTCCGACCAAAATATTTTCCATTTCGAGTTCAAACCCACACAAATTTTTACTTGAAGTGAATATCAAGGCTACTTATCGAGAGGTTGTTCATCTTTACATTATTTTACAATGGGCACATTTAGTTTTATGATTTTTATAAGAATTCTTCTATTTCACTTCGAAATACGTTTTATCAATTAATGTCGTGGTTTATTATTTACAAATCATGAATCTCACTCGTATTTTCAAACATTTGAAATTTGTCTAAGGTGATACCAATTTTTAGAAGAAAAAAAAAATGAAAAGAGGGAATATTTGTATAATGACCACTTGTTTCAGCTTTTTGTTCCTTGTGTAGTATCGAAAAGGATGAGACGTAAGATAGCAGTGACGTGTCTATTGTTTTCTGTGTTGATCGTGACGTGTGTGTTGTTTTGATGCTTTCTAGGTTATATTATAATGTTATACACATCTCGTGTTGAACGCCTTAGCTAGCTTACTATAGCTAGTAACTACTCTTCCATGTTCCGTTCACTCTTTTCTTTCTTTCTTTCTTTCTTTCTTTCTTTCTTATAGATCTAGGTATAGCTAGGGTTAACATTCGAACCATTTCCTGCCTGAAAGGAATCAAATAAGCCGCAGTGAGTGATCCAACTCCAGTTAGATGAAACCGTTTTGTTATAACTTCATACAATTACGCGCTTACTAAGGTTGGACGTGCATGAGAATAATAATTAACCTACAATAAACATAGAATGAAGATCATTTTCATCTAATTAATCCCAGCAGCTGGGATTTTGAAAATCATATTTATCACTTGGTATAACCCTACAATAATCATATTATTAGAGGATTACCACAGAGTAGATCCCTACTTAACTACGTGGAATAAATTAAATTAAGACCACTCTCGGTCGGTCAACATCAAAAGAACAACAGGCGTCGGGTTCATATATATCAGTATACAGAAACAGGACAGCAGAAGAGATGAAGAGTGGACTTATGTAGTATATTATATAGATGATAGTAAGAAATTATAACAAATTTGTGACCTGGTGCTGGCAAAGTCGTAGAGCTTGTTGGTGCAGGAGAAAACGAGGAGACCAACTTCAGCGTCGCAGAGGATGGAGAGCTCCTTGGCTTTCTTAATCAAGCCATTCCTTCTCTTGGAGAAGGTCACTTGCCTGCTTGTGGAGTCGTCGATCCGCCTTATTACGATCTTCCCTCTCCCCATGATGATAACACTGCGCCGATCCGATCGCCTTGATTCCCAATCCTAGCTACATCATGGAAATCACAAAATAAACAGACCAAAATCAATGGATCCAGCTGATTCAAACTCTCGTGAAACAGTTTGACCGAATAACGAAGAAAAGGACACGGGGAAATATATCATAACAAAGACAGGCAGGTGCTGCTTTGAAAAGCAATGCTTCGTGACCCTAAGAGGAAAGCTAGCCAAAGAAAGAAAGAAAGAAAGAAAGGCGTGAATTGATGGAGATGGAGCTTACTGGTTTGCGCTGAAAGAGAGAAAAGAAAGGAGAGAGGGGCATGGGAAAGCAGTCCCTAAATGGCTGGCATTATATACACGGTAATCCTACTAGTGGGTTTCTTTGCTAACTCAGACATTTCCTCTTGCCTCTTTCTGATGCTTTTGTTTCCCATTTATTCAACCAAGTACAATTCACTCCATTACGATTCTTCTCATTGTTATAATATAATATAATGTTTCAGTCTTTTAAGTGTTGTATTCTGAAATCGCATTTTAAATTTTAAAATTTTACGCTTTTATATTTATAGGTTTAAAACACTTATATGTAGAATCGCACGTTCTCTTTATAAGTGTAGTCAAAATCTACGGTTTAAAGGTTAAAAATATAAATTTTTTACGCTTCTATTTCACCACTACGCTTATACGAGCAAATCGCAATTGTGACTGCTTTAAAGTACAAACAATTATAAGTATATTGTGACTTATGATTATACACAATCGACTAGAATACTCAATATGTTTGAGAGTAACTTTTTCGCCACAATTTGTTCTCGAAAAAAGCAAACTCTATTTTATGACTAATACACATATCCTATTTTTATGCAAATGATCCACGACTAATACACATATCCTATTTTTATGCAAATTGATCCATAGTAATTATAAATGCACACATTTTTTTTTCTATGGAAACACACACACAATTTATTTACTATTTCAAGCAAATCAATCTTGATATTTAAGCACATAACTATTTTTCAATAATTAACCATTTCCATTTATCTCTACTGATCAACCCGGCCATCAGGAACCGAAAAACTAATGAGAAAATCCAATAAAGAAGTTACCAACCAGCCAACAAAATAACACAACGGTATAATTACTGGAGTAGGAAATAGTATAAATGAAATGAATGTCGTACAAATTAAATTACAAACTAAATCAGATTTCCCATGGCACAGTGCTTGAATTATACAAAAAACGCATCCCAAGTTGGCAAGTTATAGTAGGACTTCAAGTCAATCACATCGTCAAATGTTTCACACAATTTCATTAAACATTTATATAACTCCATCAATTGTTGGTTATGCTAGAAAACCCTCAAGTCAATTAATACGAAGATTTGGTTTAGCTCATTATGATTATTTTAATTAGTTTATTAATAAAGGGTAATTTCACTAGGAAGCCCAAACTATACTAAAAGTATCATTTGTGTATTAAACTATTCAATATGACGAATTTGGCACAAACTATATTCGTTTCGTGATTTTTGTATCCTAAACTATTCAATATGACAAATCTGACACTAGCTAAGATTTAGGGTTGAGTTTGTGCTTTATTCACTTCATATATTCATACCCTAGCTAAGATTTAGCTAGGAAGCCCAAATTATACTTGGACCATTTTGGGTTAATTTTGTGCTTTATTCACTTCATATATTCATACCCTATCTAAGATTTAGCACGAGTTTATTATTATTGGTCATTTAGCTCGTAACTCGTTCATTCTCTTCCTATGCTAGGCTAGTTGTGTTTTCTTTCCTAATCTTAGGTCCTAACATGATAAGGAAGGGTATGCCAAGTTTCGAGCGAATCAAAAGTCGTGTGAAGGATGAGAAGAAGGTGGAAAGAAGATTAAGGGTTAAATTTAAGGTCACGTAGACGAACAAAGGCTTGATCTAGTGGTAATACCACTAGTCTTGAACTTGGAGGTCTCTAGTTTGAATTCCTTCAGTAGTACCTTAAGTAAATCTATATCACCCTTAAAAAAATTATGGTCACGCAACATGTAATTCATGGCCGTGAAAAACGTTTGCTCAGACCTTGAAATTCCATTCCTCGAACTTGCATGATCAACATTGAGTTCAGAAGTTCTCACGGCCAACCCCACAGACACGAAGGGCCAAACCGTGAGAGCAAGTTAACGACTGCGAGAATTAATTCAAGACCGTGAATTTCACAATGACCCCCATGTGACCGTGATTTTCCCTTTTGTGTAAGTTCACGGTCATGAACTGCCACGCACGTTTAGGTCGTGAACTTTGACTTTTGCACGGGCCTATAACATTATAAAAAATGGTATTTACGAGTGGAAAACAGTCACTAAAAGCCCAAAACTCGTCGTAAAAAGTCATTAACAAGGGAAAGTCCACTCACTACAGGTGTTGCCGCTAAAAGTATTAACAAAGGGTTATCATATTCGGTCGTTGAGGCCTCTATTGAGCGGCAATTTTCTAGTCATTGAAGATACTCATTCACGACCATATCAATGATCAATTACGACAAGTTTCTTATCATTAAAGATTGGCACTATATAGTCATATGTAGCCATAGTTGATCTGGAAATAACGAAAAAATAAAGCTAAATATAGGGTTAATTGCACCACATGCCACTTAAGTTTACTATTTGTTGCACGGTGACCATCTAATTATGTTTTGTTGCTATTAAAACATTTACGTTAACGAATAGTTGCACATTTATCATTTTCGTCACCCAAACTAATGCTAGGTGTCAAAAATGAAATTATCCATTTCACGTAGGCTCCCACATTAGCGGCTATAGGGTGAGTCACATGTGAGCCACCACAATCTTGATGGGCCCAGAAAACTTAAAGAATTCCTTCCATACTTGATTGTAGCAGGTGAACCGTCGAGCACCCTTCCCTTCTCTAAACAAAATAAATCATCCAGGGGAATTACTTGGCGAGGCGATCACACGAAGAAGGAATAAAGATCGATGTACGCAGCAAAAGTCATACGGTAAGTGATCTAGACCCTTGTTGCAGTACTCTGTTTCTTCCTCTAATTCAATCCCCACTGCAATTCGATTAATTTTGTTCTTACTCTAATTCTTTGCTTATTATTTCGATGGATTTGAAACGACCTACAAAAATAGCTTGTTCATGGGTTGATGGAGAAGTAGGTGAGTGAATTCTCATATCATTGAGTGATCCTCTGTTTTCATGTATGGTCTTCTTCATCGATGTTCAATGATCAATGGGTAAAGTATGCAGGTTTTACTACTTGTTTGAGCTTAGAAATGCGTCCAAGCATTAGGGAAATAGGGGAAACTGAACGAATTCCGATTTATGGTGAGTTTCGCAATTAAAGGCTGCTGCATTTTCCCCCTTGTGATTTTGCAGCTGCAATTTGTTGCCGTAAATGTCAATAAATGTTATTTTGTTACAAATACTTATACTGTTTGTTTTTATTGATGACTTAGAAATGACAATTTTATAATCGAACTCCACTGTAAGGGAGAAATGGTGTACATACATGATGAAGACATATGCTCTTTTGGAGGTGAAGTTATATACTTGGATTGGATTGATTTAGATTGTCTATCTGTGTTCGAGCTAGATGGTTATCTTGTCGACATCGCTCATTTGTAAAGTATGAGCCTTCTGGAGGAATAGAGGATAACACATGTTTGGGCATACTATCGGAGATTACCTGGAGAAAGATTGAATAAAGGGCTGCAAGAACTTACTAGTGACAGTGCTATTGTGGACATGGCTGCCAAGATAGTTCAAAAAAACCAAATTTGTAGCTATATCTAAGCAATAAAGAAGAGTTAAGGAAGGCTAGATTAGAAGCAGATGAAGGAGTTAGGACCAAACAACATATATGAGAGTTGGAATAGCTTCCTCTTAGGAGCAATAACCAAAACAATCATGAGCATGCTTGAGACCATAAGGAATATTCTTATGCGGAGATTTCATGTAAGCAGGGAGAAGGTAGAGTTAAAAATTCAAGGGTCAATTTTTTCCATCAATCCAACAAAAGCAAGACTTGTCTAAAAAAGCTAGCTTTAGATGTACTGCCATCCAAAGTGGTCCACAAAAAATTTTCAAGTTGTGTCTATAGGTTGGCTTATGGTATATTTAAGCAGTTCCAAATGTACTAGTAGGATGTAGGAATTGACAGGTTTACCGTGTCCGCATGCCATTCGCTGCATACGGCAAATATTGAGAAGAGTTGAGAATCATGTGGACAAGCATTATGAAGTTGCAAGCTACATCAAAACTTACAGTGGAAATGTGGAACCAATGGTTGGTCGGAATCATGGTTACCAAGTGGAAGAGAGACTGTGGAGCCACCATCTGTGAGTATGCAAGGAAAAAAATACGAGGAAGGTGGCAAACCAAAAGGAGAAAGGGCATTAAGGATACACCATGTCATGATAAGCAGGCACGTATGTTTAGAGATGGAAATGAGAGGATGAGTAGAAAGGGTAATGGGGAAACCAATTAGTGTAGTGTGTGTAAGCAGCCTGAACACAACAAGCCATTTCTTTCAAAAGGGAACAAGGAAGGAAGCCCCGTTGGATTACAAACATTTTATTACAGTCATTATGCATATGGTTTCCCCACCAAATGTTGGGTTGAATTTCACCAAGATAAATCAAAGCACAAAAAACTGCTCCATTTGAAACACAGGAAAAACAGGCGAATTAACCATTGCATAGACCAAGAGAAAAACCTAGGGGCAATATTACTAATGAAAGAGAGGAGGAAACCTTTGACACCATGTTCGAGGGAGAGCGCTACAGGGTTGAGCAGAGAAGAAGATTTTCTATGCTGGAGAAGAGAAGCGAAGAGAAGAATGTAGTTCTAATAGTACAATGAAGTTCCTACGAATCAAATAAGGGAAGGATTGGAGAAAAGAGGAAGATTTTCTGTCGGCGGTGGTTTGCAAACTAGGAAGCTGCTTTTTTGGGGGGAGGGGGGAATTGGAAAAAGAAAAGCCTTATTTTCGATTTTGAGAGGGATTCATTTATTGGAT